GGGGTCCATCCTGGACAGGTCGCCATCCTATCGCATGGCTGACACTCACGCCTACGGGCAATTTAGAGCCTCCAATCATCAACCTAAGCCGCATTTCTTTGGTCTATGGGAGGTACCCGGAGAACATGCAGGCACTGGGAGAACATGCAAACTCCACACAGAAAGGCCTCTTGCTGTGAGGCGACGCTGTGCTGCCCCTGGTTCAGTATCTCACCAGCTAAAACAAACTTCAGCAATTCTCCGTCCCACACTGTGACACCGACATCTTGAGTCCTGCTGATAGAAGACAACATGGCCTCCATGATGCAGAAACACGAAGACGACACTCGTTAGGAATCAAACATCTAACTGGTCTTTGTTCACCTTACCTGCCTTCATGTTACCTGCCAGCAGGAAACGAAACCTGACTGGAGCCGAGTGACACGTGTTAACATATTAATCACCTTCAGCACCGACTATGGCGAACAAGACATCACCAGATGGAAAAGAAAGATCAGTTAACCACAGATAGACTTCCTTGGCGGTGCCGGCACCTCCTCGATACTATACAACCAAACTTGAACCGAGGACCACGACAGACGAGTCAGGAAACCAGAAGTGTAACTGAGCCCAAACCAAATATGACCAAAGCCTTCGCTTTTGGAGAAGAAGCAAGGAACAGATCTCAGCTGATCTCCTCAGCGTTCATCACCCACAGTCCCTCAGAACCTGCTATGCCTCCACGGAAGTTAACACACAGATGAAGAGGATTTCTGCAACAATCTGAGTGGGACTGTCTTCCTAAGGACGTCTTCAGCCTTTCACTGCTAAATTATCACAGTCCATAGTATATGACAACTGATTTTTTTTTTTTTTTTTTTTTTTGATCGTTTCTCTCAGGAGGCTCATACAAAGCAAAGCTCAGTTATTTTGCAAAGGACAGAAAAAAAAAAATCTTTTGCGACAGCTCTATGATCACACTACGAGTTAATACCATTACTTTTTTCCATTTTGCCTTTAAACTCAAATATAGTTTTCATACAGTGTGAACAACAGTCTCACAAACAAGTATGTACATCTTTTTTTTTTCTTTAAAAATGAACAAACTTGTTTTTAAGCTTCTGAATTAAGTTGAAGCCAGAAGATGAAGCATCCCAGGAGGTGAGGATGTAAATGAAGTTCTGCCAACGGAGTATAAGAATCGCCTCAGGCCGAGGAGGCAGCTGGAAGAAGTCGTGTCCCCTTGGAGTGAGGCAAAAGAACAAAACGAGCAAAGAACAATGTCTTGAGTTGTCCAATACAATTCCTCAGTAGGAAGGAAAGAACATGAAGAGTGACAACAGAAAAGTTCCTGAAACTAAAAAAGTCTGAACTTATTGTTCCAGTTTTCCTTGGAGCCAAAACAAGTTTGGTGGAGGAGGAGGAGACCAACAGTGACAGTTTCTTTTCTCCACGTTTCATCTGCGGCCACGTTACGGATTATATGAGGTATAATCTGTAACGTGGATTATATGAGGTAGCTGTGCTGGTGCTGCGTTCCTGTCACGGGAAAATCAGTGTGCACATCTTCTGTCACCTTAAAAGAGGTTAACTGCGCTGAGCTTTGCCAGAAGACAGACTGAGCCATTTTTCTGAATAACAGAGGAAAATAGCTGTAGTTGTATAGACGTTCTGTTAAAATTCAAAAAACTGTCATGTTTTGCTATAAAGTACTAAACTGCTAGCTAATAAGTTGTTTTTGTCACTGTAGAAACCATGAGCAGCACAAACTCCGCTGTTTCAGCGCGTTTGTCTTCACTTTTCTGCTGACAACAGAAGAGATTAAAACCATCTGAAATGTAAATGTCCTACTTGTTACTGACTCAGGGAGAAATCATCTTCCCTTGTCCTTATACTGATGCTAGCAGAAACCAATGAGGCCTGTCAAACCAGTCCCAGATAGCTGAATAGTTTCTCTGCCCTCTCAAAGTACTACTTCCTGTGGGCAGAAATGATGCAAGAACCAAAACTTAACTTTGGTTTCTGTAGTCAGAACACGGGTGAAGTTAGAAAGTCCCTCAGCTGGTTACAGGAAAGTTTCCTGTGTTCAGGAAGGCCTGCAACTCCACACAGTGTTTACACAGAAGTTAAATTGGGACTTCAGTCTCTGACCTTCTGAACCCTAACTCTGAACTCTCACTGACTCTTCTCGTGACATGACTGCAGCATAATTAGCGGTGGTCGTGACGTCCGAGAGCCTTGTCTTGATGTCGACTTCCTGGGAAGTTGTGTAATGTGGTTCCTGTTGCAGCGAGTGTTGAGCCTTCCAGGTGTGATGACTGACAGGCATCCTGGGCGGGTCCTCGCAGCACTGATGACGGTTGATGTGTGCGGCGATGGCAGGTGACTCTAGATGGATTTGGAGGAATCCTGTTTGTTGATGAGGACTTCCAGGAGGCGGAGTTTGGCCTTGATCCTCTTGTACTCTCTGTACTCATCCAGCATTGGCACCCGGTCCTCCTTCTGAACATTCCTATCACAGAGGAGAGAGAGAGAGAGGAGTGTTAGCTTCCATTTTCATGTTCTGCTGCCCTGAAGCTGTAGTGGTCCTAACAGAGCTGCTCAGAGGCTGTTGGACCACGGTAATGGTGTTTGGAAGCACTGGAGACGATGTGTGCTATCCAGACATTAGGCCCCAACATGAAGACTAGTAAGTCTGACGTCATCTCGCTCCGGATGCTCGTGCAGACCTTCCTGACCCGAGAATGGTCTGTGCCACCTTTTCACACCACACTAGTTGTGAAAGGGGCTAAATTTGTAGTGTGACAATTGATTTGCCTCAATAAATGCAGGACTTTTAAGACACTATCACATGGTGACCACCTCCATGTGTACTCTAATCTAAGGATGAACTAACTTGGTTTTATCACAAGTCACTTATTTGGCCTGGGCAACATTAGAGAAAACATCTGGTGCAGCAGCAGCGGCTCCAGTTTGTTTTGTCTGATACGCAATGAGTGCTTTACTTTAAGCTTGAAGACGGGATCCAAGAAAAACATGATGTAATAATTTAGTGGAGGTGCTGTGACCTGACTGTTTTTCTCATGAAAGTTACTGTGCTAGACTAACTGAAACGACCGGCGTTCCCTGGTAAGACCACGGGAGTCCAGTCGCTATGTTTGGATAAACAAAGGCTGAGTGTGTGTGTGTGTGTGTGTGTCTCCCATCTACCTTCCATTATGCTGATAGAAATCCTCCTCAAACTCTTTGATGGTCTTCCTTAGTTTCTTCTTCTCTGCTCTGGCCTTCCACAGCTGTTCCAGCAGCTCTGGCCTGGAGGGTTATGGGATACATGAGGGCACAGTCACACACACACTGTCATGATACTAATGGTGCAGCTACAAAGAGGCTGTTTCAGCTTCTTTTCTTCCCCACTCATCTATCAGACGTGCTTATTTTAATAAGCCCAGCTGTGTATACACGAGCGTAGCGCCTGAATATAATGTGAGCCAAAGTCTACTTTTATACTCCATGTATATCGTCCTGATTGTCCTGCATGTAACCACAATAGTGTACTGTGCTCCAAGGACAAACAAAACAGGTTACCTACACTCAGTACTGTGCCTGAACAGCTCCTGTGTAGTCGTGGGGCTGAAGACCTGATGTGCTGCATAAATGGTTAGTTTTCTATCACGTAGTGGGAGTTTGTGCAGAGAGCCTGCAGTTTTTCTGATTTCCAACATTGATTTAAATATTTAAATAAAACATGCTTTTGTCCACAGGAACTATTTGGATCTCTACCCTTGAATAAAGAACCAAATCCAGAGAGAAAAGGAGGGCAGGAAGTGAACTGTGGGTGTGTGAGGTGTCAGCTGTCAGGATGCCTTCCCTTAGTTATGCTGCTATAGGCCTAGGCTGCTGGGGGGGGGGGCCATGATGCTCTGGGTTTCTCTCCCCAAGTGCTGCTCAAGGGGGATTTGTTGGGTTTTCCCTCTGTAATAATATTGATAACAGTAAGGTCTAGACCTTACTTTGTAAAGTGTCCTGAGATGACTTTTGTTGTGATTTGGCGCTATACAAATAAAATTTGATTTGATTTGATCGTGTACAGGTAAGACACCTGGATTTACAAAGCTGGGCTGATAAAGAAGATTAAAGGCATGTGTGTGTGTCAGCTATGTGCTCGATGACGAGCAGATTAGTGGATAAAACCTGCTTTCCTTCTGTCGGGTGCTATTCCAGCTGGTGTGCGTGAAGTGGGTGTCTAAGCTTGTTTGACCCTCATGAGGAGAAGGCAGGTATAAATTAAACTTGGTGTCAGATACAGATGTAACTTCCACTGTTATGCCAGTGATATGGTTTTTTTTTTAGCTCTCACAGGAACGTGGCAGACTTGTGCTCTGTACTCCAGAGCTGGCCTGTCATCTGCCTCTTAGTCTCTCATGTGCTGCTGTGGCATTGGTATATTATTATAATAATATTTACAAACTTATACGTAGTCTGTCCATAGTGTACAGACAGAGATGGAGAGAAAGCATTGACGTTTCTGCTCCAGACATTCTGAATAGTTTTCACATGAAAATAAGACTGAAGAGCTTTAAATTCAAGGCTCCTGTAAACTCAGTATTGAATGATTCTTCACTAATTGTCTCATTAGCTTGCTTAATATTAAGCAAGCTAGTTTTGTAACAGGAGCTTTCATACATTGTGACTGGGTTTTTGTATTTGTGTTGGATGTTGCCATCCTGCCCAGGTCTCCTGTGAAAGAGGCTGCGAACCTCAATGGGATTGATCTGGTTAAACAAAAGGAGAGTTTACTACGGTATGTAACGTTTCTAAATATTTTTGTTGTAGAAATCTGCTCCAAAACTTGTCTTAATGTGGAGACATGCTGACAAAGGCTCCTGTGACCCAGACATTGAACATTAGTGCAGAGATGATAAAGGATTTCGAGCAGGACTGAGCTCTCTAACCAATTAGAGATTTTCAAATATTTCTACTTGACCAGCAGGTTTTGGTGCCTTCTCATTTATTGTAATTTCACAGATCCTAGTGGCGCAGGGAGAGGGAGTGCTGGGTGGAGCAGAGTGGATGCTAGTTCTACCTTAAGTTGCAAAGTGTAAGTTAAACTGGGTCACTGCAGTTGGTGTCTTAAACCCAGGCTGTGTTTTTATTATTTTAAAATGCGTTTCTCTATTGGCCAAGCTGCCCATTGAAAAATGGAGCATATTTTAAAGGAAGATTCCACAATTTTTCAACCTTATTCTCGGTCGTTGCCTCTGTGCACGCTAGAGTCATAGTAGCAAATCAAAGTTGTTTTTGTCTTCATAAGAAATTCAGGAGAACCTAGGGCGGCAGTTTTCTAGTAGACTATGATGAAGGATGACTGCAGGTCCCTCTGCTTTCACGACGGCCATATTTATAAGAAGCAGTGGACACAAACTTAATCAGGATGGACACAATGAGTCCCTTTAAAGGGTAACTACACACTAAATTATTATTTTTACCTGTACACATAATCATATTGACATTTTGTTGACTTGTGCTGTTTATGTAAAAGCTGCATTGTCTGCTCAATTTTAGGTCGTTTCTGGATTTGAAAGCTCAGTTCTACTAAATCCTCGGGCCCTGCTCTCATCGTGACGACACAGACGAGACTCCGAGGTCTTGCTGGAGAGCTGAATGTAGGTGTGTAGTTACTGTTCAAATAATAATTAGTAAAACATTTGAATTTAAAAGTTTTAAATAAAATGTAGACATAACTGGTATGTGGCACAATTATACAGTATATTCCCTCTAGGAACAATTCACGTGTAACTGTGCTTGCATATGTGTGATTTTGTTTTTACATGGAAGAAGCGTTGGAGCTGGAGAGTCGCAGGTCCAGCGCCAGCTGCCCCGACCCCTCCTCGAGCTTGGCCCTCATTGGACAGTTGCTCTGCTTCTGGCTCATCATTGGTCCATCAGTTGGAGTCACAAGGTCGATGGCCATGATGACTTCTGGGCTCTGCATCTCCCCACCACTGCTCTCTGCCTCCTCCTCTTCTTCCTCCTCTTCTTCATCCCTCTCCTCTCCTCTGTCATCTTGTTCTCCCCCTCCTTTACATTCCTCCTCCTCCTCTTCTTCTTCTTTAATCTCCTCCCAGAAATGAGCAGTTTCACCCTCAATGATTGGCTGGAGGGTCTGACTCCGCCTCTTACTAGAGGGGGACGCCTGGGAGAGAGACGGACAGCACCATTAACAACAGTAAGCGAGTTGGTTCCAACTTATAATATGATTTAGCTTAGTTACCTCTTCTACAAAATCCTTTCCTCTTAGATCCACCTGATCTAGCTAGTGATCATGGCTTGGTCAGTTAGAATAGTTTGCAAGTACATGAGTTTAAACTCTGCAACGTTGTAAAGGCAGAGTAGTGAGAAGATCAGTGTCCGTATACGGCACGATGACGGTTAATATCCGGGACAGCCTCTGTAGTCTCATTTAGGGTTAGGGTTAGCAACCACCTTCAGGTCGCGTAAAAGCTTCAAAAATGATGAGTTTGGTACTTACTGACATTTTATGTTGGGAACAAAACGTGAAACTGTATTGGCCTTGTGTTAACTACAGACCTCATATCAAGCGTTTAAGTAAAAGCCCACTGACTTCAGCGCCAGGGAACCGGATGTGGAAAACTTAACTCAGTTCCAGGTTTTGGGACTCGCTACTACGGCTCTCTATACACAGTAATCTACAAGGAGAGAAATCACTGATGTTTGTGTCTAAGTTCTAGTTAGATCATTTTATATTAGCGAGTTAGGATGCTTGTCTACTTACTGTGATAGGTGTGATGCCGTCTCTGGTGAGCATCTGTTTGACCAATCTATAGCGATCGTAGAGAGGCTTTACCACCAGACGCTCCTCTCTGGTGACCTAAGAGGGAAAGGACGGGTTAGAAACAGTCTGTGTGCGCTGACAAATTAAATCTAGTCATGATTTAGTAACTCACAGGTCGACCGTGCAGGCCTTCGTAGTGCAGCAGGTTTTTCTGTAAGACCGTCTTCTCAGAGGACAGCTGCTCCTTGGTCATCTTCTATACAAATATGACCACACGTTTAATCATGTAACAATGATGCGACATTTAATTTGAATGAGTTGAGAACTGATCTGATGCAATACAACCAAGTCAAAATATGAAGTCCTTTTCAAAATAATGTGTACACCTTTTATTCCAAAAACATTCTATTGCGATATTTTTGGACTCAGTTGGCAGTTTATTAGGTACACCCAGCTAAAACCACGTCAGTCTAATCCTCCTTCATGAAGGTGAAAACATTGTTTGTGTTCAAACTCAGAGCTTTTGATTTGCCAGTCATTCTGGAGGCTGTGCTGCTTTTAAATTGTATTATACAGAGATGTTTCTGTTATTTAGCCTCATGGACATAAATGGGATGGACAAGAAAACGACAGTATATTTTTTAAAACCTTCCATTTAAGGGTTGCACTGCAAATCTGCTTCTAAATTTCATATGTTTCCAATTAATTTACACAGTAACCATTGTTTATAATCCTGTTAAGTTTCTGTTTGCCTACATTGAGCTCTTTGATTTGCCTTTGCGTTATGAAATATCCTATATAAATAAAGCTGTCTTGCCTATTTCTCTGATTTCTTTGCATTTTAATGTGCATGTGTGTGTACAGACTGCACTTGACTGACATCTCTAAAACTCATACCCCTCATTTCCACTGAGCACAGCTGCAACTCAGCTCTCTGCTCCGCTTTGCTAAAGATATGGGTGTATAGTCTATTTTTGATGGATGCCGCTTCTGACTAAGGTTCGACCCATCATTCAGGTAGAGTTTTCCCCAAAACCTAATGTCAGATGATATGTGAAACACGGGTACAGAACAGTTAGCCTATAAGGATTAATCCATGCAGCCACAAGCCATTTAACTACAGAGCCTTTCCACTGTAGCAGCTCAAAAACCAGGAAAAGCCTAAACAAAAATCTGCTCTGCTGGGGAACCCAGCGGAAATGAGGAGTTGGTTCTAGATAACTTCAACTATACATTCATGTGTATAATCGGTACATTGAATTTAATGAAAAGATGTAAGTGCCAGCAAGGTTCTACCCATGTTCGTCTTAAGCAGAGATCTAATGAACGAGTGTACTTAAATACCTGTGTGTAGAGCCTTTAACGTGTACTCATCCAGTCCCTGGTAAAACTACTCACCTTGATGTCATCAGGCCAGCCGTCCTCCTGCCTCTTCCCTTTGACCCTGCGCTGGATCAGCTCCAGTGTTTCCTCCCTGGTGGGATGTGGACCTTTGACCTCCACTGCTGCGTCATAAGAACCTTGATCCAGCGTGGAGCCAAAGCTCTTAGGCAAGGTGTTGCTTCGGGGGCGAGTCTGAGGGCCGAGCTCACTCTCTGCACGGTGTTTGGCATCTAGGGAAGGAGGGGTAAAGTGGTGAGGGAAAGCGAAGAAGAATCTTCAGGCAGTACATAAAACATATTTGACTGTGATCAGATATGCAGGAATTTAACAGACAGCTGCTATGGTTAAAGAGTGTCAATCGGAGGATAAGGAGAGAGAAAAACATCTCTGGACAACACACACACACAATACCACACCAAGTAAAAACCCAAACACAGCAACCAGAAGCCTTTTCTTGAACATTTTGTCTTTTAGAACCTGCCTGTAAAATAATTAAGACATGTTAAAGTTCTGAGACAGTCTCATCATGAAAGAACTAGATGTATACTACAACAGATGCCTGCTGGGAGCTAGTGGCTCTAGATAAAGTATTTTAAATTCATACACATAAAAGTATATGTTTGAAGGAACAGTTCAACAGTTTGGGGAAATGCACTTATTAGCTTTGTGGTGAAGAGTTACAGTAAATGAGAAGACACATATGTACGGTAAATATGAAGCTACAGTTAGCCTGAACTGTCTGTATGGAAGAATATCTTCCTACCAGCACCTTTAAAAGCTCACTCATTAACAGAGAGTATGTTGCTGGTTTAATCCTACAAAATGAATAAAAACATTATTTATTGGTTTATGGGGGTTGTGTGCCATACGGTTTCTTGGCTCAGAGACAGGCTGGTTGCCCTTTTCTCAGGTTCTATGCTGAGCTATACTAATCAGCAGCTGGCTCTAGCTTTATGTTTAGCATACAGACCTGAATAGCATTAATCTTCTCATCTAACTGAATAAGCACATTTCATAAAATCTCAAACTTTTGCTTCAACACCCAATATTTCTTTTTAAAAACACATTCTGCACCTTTCACATCTCAACACGGCCTTGACCTGTGACACTAGCTACAGTACTGAAGCTGATTTTACGTTTACGTCTGTTTAAATAAAGGTTAATGTTGGAAAAAAAAGGTCTATCAATAAACCTGGCTGTAGTTTTAAATCATAATTCAAACTACTGGTCTCATGCTCAAAATCCAAATTTTTGGGAGATACCGCCAAGTTAAATGCCAACATGCTGCTTCAACACGAAATGCACAGACACAAAGATGCTCTCACAATGCCGCCTCACTGTGACTGTCAGTGTAATGTAATTCTACTTACTGAGGGACTGGTACTTACTGAGGAGAAACGGTCTAGAGCTCAGGCCTGAGTAGGGGTGGAGTATGGGGGTGAGTGCGTGAGGAGGTGAGCAGATAGAGGAGAATGGGTAAGGGGAGGGGACATGGTGGCGTCTGTGTGAATGGAGCAAAGCCTGGTGCCTCAGCGTGCTTCTGGGTAAAAGGTGCTGGCGTCCTGGTTGGCCGATCAGTCAGTCAGTCAATCAATCAAATGGGCGTTGAGCAATAGGAGGAGGAAGGAGGAAAGTGGAGAGCGGGTGCTCGCGTTATTTTTGTTTTTCAATTTTGATTTGAAACAGAGAGAGAAATGTTTTCGGCCACTGTGTTTCTCCGAAAAAGGAGAGTCGCCACCTCTCAGAGTGGAGGTGGATGAGTGTCATGAGGTTTGTTCAGTATGGTGAACGATGCACATGAGGAACCGTGTCCGAGTGCAGAAAAGAATTTGTATGGATGTGTCAGATTTATGTGTGTTTGTGCCCACATACATGAAGACAAAAAGCTTCTGCAAACAACTTTAACAGTGAAAAAGTAGGTTAGTTTGTTGATGTTTTTCTTTATTAACTTCTTTATATATCCAAATATTTTGTGGCTATTTGAAACACAGTTTCACCTTACTGAACTCACCCCATGGGTAATGAATGTGGGTTCACAAGGACGCACCAGCACACTGGAGGGTGGGAGTCACGCATGTGAGAGCCACTGGTATGTGCGCGTCTGCTTATGTGTGTTAAACAGGAATACATGCAATTTGTTAAAAAGGTCAAGGGTTAGGAGTGGGGAAGGTCAAGGTGTCCAGCATGGAAGGGGACGGCGCATGGACACTCTAACCCCGACACTCACACACATTCACAGGAAAAAGAGCGAGTGTTTCTACCTTTAAGCTGCCTGCGGATCTTGGTAAGGTCGGTCATCCATTTGAGGACTTTGGGGTTAGCTGCCTTGTCTGCATGAGAGGGCTGCAGAGAGAAGAGGAGGAGGGGACGAAGAGAAAGGACAGAGGAAGTGATGGTGTTTCAAAGAAAAGGTTAGGACAATATTTGAGCATTTATAACAGTAATTGTTGCACTTATGTTTTTACTCAGAAGGACCTACACAAAATCTTTAAAATGCAAAATATTAAGTTCTAAGGATTTGTGGCCCCATTTAGTACTGTGTCATGAATCCAGTAGAGATAAACCTGAAATGTATTAAATCTGTTAATGTGTCAGTACTTTCAGAATAAAGCAACCGTTTTGTTCATGGTTATTCCCACAAACAGCATCACATCTGTACAGTGACACTGCCAACACTTTAAAATACCTCATATAAAGTTTTTAATTATTACTACATAGTTCTTGAAAAGTTTTTCAACATGTCTTCTAGTCAGATGCATCAGATAAACTCTGGTGTGAAAGTATCACTCACCACTCAGCAATACAACACATTTATAGACATCACATTTTCATTTTTACCTTGTAGTTCCTCTCCTTCTCAAACTGCTCTTCAAACTGTTTGATTTTCTTCTTCAGGTGCTGAAGCTTCTTGGTGAGTTGATGAGTCACTGAATCTCCTCCTCTAATTGCCTCTTTGGAGCCAAATGATGCTCGCCGTGGCCTGGGAGTGACAGATGACACACAGGTAATGAATAAACTGCACAAAATACACCATAAGCCAGACATATGAGTTCTGACTGTAGGCGTAAACTTAAAAGCCAATAACAGACTAGCAGCACCGCTGGATGTCCGTGTCTCCTTGTACCTCTGTGCTTTGGTGGGCGAGGTGGCATCTGGATCCTGCTGGAGGAATCGCTGGGCACCGTGCACACCAAAGTCAAGAAAGCGTCGAGCCAGAAGGTGAGGGTGAGAGCGGGAAGAGGAGGGGGAGGCGTCCTGCCCTCCCTCCCCCTCGTCCTCCTCGTCGTCTTCCTCCAGGGGCAGCGGGGGGAGAGGAACCATGCGACCGGCCAGAGGGGAGAGCTGTGCCTCTCCGCTGTCATTGTCATCCTGCCAGGATTTGTAAGCAGGTACGGGGTCTGGAGAGAGGAAGAAACAGTAAAGAGGAGATGGAGTCAGAGCAATCCAAATGAGGTTGGGAGAGAAGGGAGAGAAAAGACTAATTTAATCGCTTATAAGTGAGGTAGGTACTGTACATTTCAATAAGACACACGCAAAAGCTGCCTGGGAGGGAGCTGTTGAGCTGATCCATTGAACAACAAATTAAATTTCTTCTCTGGTACCCTGCTGACTCACTCCTAGGCTGATTAACAGTGTCTTGACTGTCAGCGCTATGCTAATAAGCTGAGCTGAAGGAACAAAGACTGAAGATAACAAGACAAAGCTAAGGCACAGAGTCACAGTAAAACATGTAATCAGAGAGAAAAGGTGTCCTGATCACTGTGCCCACTGACCCTGTAGCAGGAGGGAAGGGCAAAGACAAGGGGAAGTAAAATGACAAGAGTCCAGCAGTGCTCTCAGCAAATCTTATGGAAGGAAGAGTGTTTTACATGCAGTAATGCATTTATGATCAGTATGACAGGCAGATTTTAAAATGTAAGAATATATTAGCAAAGTTTCCAAAAGAAACCACCACAAGAAAAGAATGTGAAAAGAAGGATGGGTAGCCTGATGGTTATGTGGGCAAATATGAAGCTACTTACCCTGGCCTTCTTTTTGCAGATGCATACATGAGAAGTCTATGGGAAGGAGATGAAGATGGGACAGGGGTGACGCTGTTCGGATGGAAGGAGGACAAGAGGGAAGAAGAGGGAGGGCAGACAGGCAGAGGGACAGCAGAGAGGAGAAGCAGCGAGGTCAATCATTCAGAAATCACCATCATTCGTTCAGTGTGTGCGCATTTGTTTGGTTTAATGCAAACAAATGATGAAAACATCCAGATTTTCCCTTATTCACACTAGATACTCAGCAGATATATGGAGAAACAAAGGAGAATGACTGCTCACACAGTTTTCTATCATAAAGAGGTGCTCACATAAGTCGATCCGACAGAAAATGTTCAATAATCCATTTGAGCAGCTGCAAAATTGGCATTTATTTTACTATGTTCAGACATTTTATGAACCTAACAATTCAACAATTAATAAAGAAAATCACTGTTAGATCATCAGTTGCAGACAACTTTCATTTGGAAGTAGAGCTGTGATTATTTTCATCATCGATAAATGTGATTCTCACATATGGTAAGATGAAGTGAGGGAATGTTTGATTACTTGACTTTTTTTCTCAAAATATTGTCAGTTAATTTGTATTACATGTTTATCTTTCTAGCCAACAGACAGCGTGCTGGTGTTGCTGAGACAAGGAGATTCCCACCTTCCCACTGGTTGTCAGGAAAGAGCTGGAGGTGGGGACTGTGGCCAGAGTTTGGGTGATATGGTGACAGAAGGTTCCTGTTGCTCTCGCTGGTGTTGGCATTTTGATCACAGCGGTGTGAACCCAAGTCCTGAAGGAAGAGAGAGAGAGAGAGAGAGGGATTAAATAAACAAATTAGAGATGGAAGAAAACAGAAACAAGTGCTTGAAAATGAAGGCACTGAAGTAGGGAGAAAGCACAAATGAAGGACAGAAAGATGTACATTAGAAGGGAACAAAGGAAGGAACGGTAAACCAAGTACCGCAGGTGGACAGATATTGTAACAAAATGTACAGTATATGTCAATATTATGCCACTTGTGAACACAGTGGAAATAACACAATGACATATTCCTGCTACATACACAGCTTATGGTGTCAGTCTCCTCCATGGTGGCACAGGGTTGATTGTCCTGCCTGAGTTAAAGATAAGAAACACAAAACATACTTAAGTACATAAAACATAAAGCAGTACGTTCTCAAATTGTAACGTTTAGAGGCATAATCGCTGCTGCAAATGTATTTCTTCATGTGCTGAGCAAACACTGTCTCAACTTGCTGTTAAGTATTTATCTCAAGGACCTGGAAAAGCCTCGAGCAAAATGAAACCATTTGTGATCCAACTTTTCACAGATTAATTTAATGATTCCAGTCACGCAACTAAAACCTCTTATACATCATGAAGGATTTCTTACAGGAAGCTGCTGCAACTAAAATCAACGCTGTGCCTACTGATTATTTTATTCTGCCCATTAACTTCTGCTGCACAGTACATTAACTATGCTTGTTCACAATCAGCAGGAGGTGTGCTACAGAAAACTACACAGACATGCAGTGCCTGTGTTATGTGTGAGAGAAACAGATGATTAAGATGCAATTTGAACACAGCTTTAAAATGAGCTCTGGCTGAGACAGCATGTTAAAGTGATTTGTAAACATGAAGCGTCAAATGATCAGTGCACAGAAATATTACTGCACATGTAGTGACATGTCATAGAGAATATAATAGTAGCACTTTAATAAACAGCAAATGGAAAACATCAAGTTTTTCGTCTTCTTGCTTTTAAATTTTCTATCTACAATTTAATTCAATTCAATTTTTGAATATGGTAAAAAGAAAGTGGGATTCACTAGGCCACATATAACACACACAGCCACTACCTTTTCCAAATTAAGTATTAATTTAACCCAAATGCCCCTTGATGTTTTTGAACTACCTGAACAAACTAGCATTTCACTCTAGCAATTTTTCTTACTTGCTGATTTGAGGTAAGACTAGACTCAGTCAAATTTAAAATATGTCCACTTACCTAGTAGCACTGATATTGTTCTCAGCATCTCTGACAGCCTCTGCATCCAGGTCCATTCCCAAGCTGTCCTCCAGGGCGGCGCCAGAGGCCAGAGAATCCTGGGAGAAAGCAACAGCAAGAATTTAAGATGAATTCTCTTATTTTTATGGAAGACAATCATAAATTTTAACAAAACTATGAGAGCAAGTGGCATGAATGTGCAAGAATAGAAACTGTGTTAAACTGGGACTCAAACATAAACAGCATCATCCCTGTTCTTAGACACCACATACATATGTTTCACTTTTTTGGGCTTCGTCTTAAATGAAAAAAAAAATCCATCACATATAGAGATTCACATGTGCCACAGACATTCTGCCGCTCATGCATATTATACCTAAATCTATAAACGTCTGAGGAAAGATAAATGTATTCTATTTCACTTCTTCCCCTTCATGATGCAAACTTCCCAACAAAATGATATTCCAAAGTTAAGGTGAAGGGACTTTTACTGAAACCACTGCTAACCTTTACAGTTGTGACTGGTTTTGCTATAATTGCAGTATTGATGATTTAAGGACTACACACCCACACTGGAGGTTAAGTGTATTTATGAACTGCACAGGGTTTTCACAATATAAAAGTAGAGTCTGCATAAGGTGGCAATGATCATGACACTGTAGTGAAGAGCAGGATTTCGACTTAGTGTGTACATGTCAGAGTGAATGTGTGACCGGCTGTGTGACACTGCTATTACCCCTGTTATGTAAAGAAAGTAAACCCGTGTGTGTGTGTGTGTGTGTTGTAGTTCAGTGCACAGGTGCAGCTGTCATTCTTTAGCTCTGGGCTGATGCTGATCTATTTTAAGAACTTTACTGAGATTATTGTTTATGTACAGTCCAAAAGCCAGTGAGGTTCAATGGGGATAGAAACATAATGGGTTCTGATTTCCATTGCAACAAGACTTACTAAAAATAATGCTCACTGTCAAAGATGGTAAATCCCAATTCCTCACTTGCATCTAATCATTCAGCCTTACAACTGATGACTTTTCAAGTGATTCTGTGCTGTATACAAATTTCCAATGTTGGAATAAAATCACGAGAGCCTTGCTACAGCCGCGTTGTGCTCGTGTCATCTCAGTTGTTTGGTATAAGGTGGTGATCCACGCTGTTTTAAGTCTGTCTTTTTCTCAACTTGACATTCTGATTAAAATCAAACATGTTTAATATCATTGTAAATCTTTAGTCTTCTAGGTTCATGCAGACAGTGACATGGACATTGTAAATAACCAACAGGTGAAGGTCTCTCCAGCACCAAACCAGGAAGCAGCATAGCAGGCACAGAAACAGTGGTAAATACATATTACACCTATGGGTAAATATGACAGAGACTGTGGTGACTGTGCCTCGGAAGGCACAATTCTGTTGGACTGTTACAAAGGAGGAGAAACAGGTGGAGCTGTGGAGTGAGCAATGCTCTTGTGCATCCTCAAACATGGCTCGCCCTAACCCTACTTCTGCACCATAGAGCAGGAATAAGAGCTTTGGGACATCCTCAACCTGAAAGTTGTGCCAGTTAAGGGAGAAGCGAGGAGCAAGGAATGATCAAATAAGGGAATTTGGGTTTGCCTTATGTACTGTTCTTGAATCATCTCACTTAAGAAAAATCAGTTTCCTCATAATTAAGCCAATTAGCGCCATAATTGTCAACCATTTTCTTTGACCGCTTTCATATTGAACAGCACTTTGTATCAAGTACACAACACCCTGATCTCATCCCCTCATGATTACACAAAACACTACATATCTATGTATTCATGAGTGTGTGTACTTGTGAAACAGGCCTATTTGTTTTCTGTGCTTGCTACCCCAGTGGAATTCCAGCTATTGTAGCAATCAGAGCAGAACAAAGATGGACTGTACATCAAACTGAGACACTAAGACAGGAAGGAGGTTTGCTATGTGAAATACGTTGCGAGTCCACATGACAAATGGCTGGGGTCTGTGTCCTGTGTGTTTTTTTGAGGAAATTCTTCTGTGTGTGTGTGTGTGTGTGTGTGTGTGTGTGTGTGTGTGTGTGTGTGTGTGTGT